CAGAGATCCTACATGAGGAGTAAGTGCACAGTGACTCCTGTTGTTGACTTTACAAATTGACACTTCTGTTTATGGCATCAGTAATCTCCCTATGCTCCAGTCATGAGTTTCCAAGGCTATGGAAGCCCCTTGAGTTCTCTGACTCTTATCTTGTTTAGACAAGGTCCTAGTCAAAGTGGAGGTTCTCTCCTCCCTTCAGAGAAAGGTACCTCCTTCTTTGAAGACCTGTTCTTTCCACTGGGATCTCACTCACAGAGAACTTTCATTTAGGTTTTTTTTTTTTTTTTTTGCCAGAGTGTCTTGGCTTTCCATGCCTGAAATACTCTCATGGGCTTTTCAGCCGGATCCGCATGCCTTAAGGGCTGATTCTGAGGCCAGAGTGCTGTTTAGGACATCCGCCATTCTTTGAGTCTGCTGAGTATCTCACTTCCCATGTTGGATCACTCTTCCCTTTATTTATTCTATCGGTTAGTATTAGCAGGTACTAGACTTGTTTATGTGCTCCCATTGACTCTTAGTCCTTTCATTATGATCAATTGTGAACTCAAATTGATCACTTGGACTAGTGAGATGGCATTGGTACATGCCACCTTGATGGGATTAAATTGGAGTCCCCTGGTATGTTTCTAACTCTACCATTTGGGGCAAGTCAGCTTGAGCATGTCCCAAATTGTACATCTCTTCCCTCTCTTATTCCCACTCTTATGTTTAACAGGGATCACATTTCAGTGAAATTTCAACACTTATGAATAACTGTGTATTAATTACAGAATTAAACCAGTCATATTAAGAACAGACAAAAAAACTACTAAGAGGGATAATGTATTAAGTTGTTCATTAACAGTCAGGGCTATGCTGATCAAGTCACCGTTTCTCATAGTGTTAATTTCACTTCAACAGGTTTCCTTTTTGGTGTTCAGTCAGTTGTCATCGATCAGGGAGAACATATAAAATCCACTCAACATGGATTAAAGACCTAAATCTATGACCTGACACCATCAAGTTATTAGAGAACATTGGAGAAACCCTTCAAGATAGTGGCACAGGCAAAGAATTTCTGGAAAAGACCCGGGAGGCACAGGCAGTCAAAGCCAAAATGAACTATTGGGATTGCATCAGATTGAGAAGTTTCTGTACTGCAAAAGAAACAGTCAGGAGAGTGAAGAGACAACTGACAGAATGGGAAAAAATATTTGCAAACTATGTAACAGATAAAGGGTTAATAACCAGAATCTACAAAGAGATCAAGAAACTCCACAAAAACAAAACAAACAACCCACTTAAGAGAAGGGCCAAGGACCTTAATAGCCATTTTTCAAAAGAGGAAATCCAAATGGCCAACAGGCACATGAAAAAATGTTCAAGGTCACTAGCAATCAGGGAAATGCAAATCAAAACCACAATGAGGTCTCACCTCACCCCGGTTAGAATGGCTCACATACAGAAATCTACCAACACAGATGCTGGCGAGGATGTGGGGAAAAAGGGACACTAACCCACTGTTGGTGGGAATGCAAACTGGTCAAGCCACTATGGAAGTCAGTCTGGAAATTCTTCAGAAACCTGAATATAACCCTACCATATAACCCAGCCATCCCACTCCTTGGAATTTACCCAAAGGAATTTAAATTGGCAAACAAAAAAGCTGTCTGCACCCTAATGTTTATTGCAGCACAATTCACAATAGCCAAGACCTGGAACCAACCCAAATGCCCATCAACGGTAGACTGGATAAAGAAATTATGGGATATGTACTCTTTAGAATACTATACCGCAGTAAGAAACAACGAAATCCAGTCATTTGCAACAAAATGGAGGAATCTGGAACACATATGCTGAGTGAAATAAGCCAGTCCCAAAGGAACATGAATTATTTTTACCTTTTTGTGAGTTTTGGAGATTGTACTCCCAGTTTTTTTTTCTGTGTTCTGTTTTTTCAGTTTATCCTTACATGTATGCACTGGTCAGTACTCGACTGGATACTCAAGAAGGACCTGCAGGGCGGTGGAGTTCTTTCTGTGTAGCACCCCATCTTTCAGTAGTCTGCCTCATGAACTCTACCTGCCTCAGCTTCTCCTGTCTCTCAGCCCTGTCTCCTCAACTTACAAAGATTACTGGACTACCCCTGGTTTTTCCTTTCATACAAAATAGAAAGTTTAGGCAACTCAGATACTTCCCTCAGTATTTTTCCTTTCTGTTATTATTGTCCCATGTGACCTGGAATCCAATATCAGGAAGACATTGTTTCATATATTTTGTATGGACTTTCATTTGTATCATTAATTTGGTAAATCTAGTCTCTTGTTCTCTAATTTTGCTAGAGGAAGAAGCAGGAGTAATGCTTTATAAGTCTTCCTTTTATCCTTAACTTTTTGCATTCATACCTTTGTGTTTTGAAAAGGTATTTCACCCTATGTAGGGTGACTTTTTATTTTAACTATTGCTTTTTTGTTTTCCTTTTTTTAACTATTGCTTTTGAGGTAGAAGTTTCAGGTAAGACATCTACCTCGGTAGAGAACTGAAATACAATATTGAAATTGTGATGAATATGAAAAAATTATTATTCACAAAATGAGGCTTTCTAAGGAAAACAAGGAAGGCTCCCAGGCAAGTCTGAAAATAGCGTGAAGGAGCTAGGAGCAGGAGATTGGCTTGGCTTTTTTGTGATTAGGAGATGGGCTAGAGTAAAGAAACAACTCACTGGAGCAGTCTTGCAGTCTTACATGGTTTGAACTTCCTTCTTTTTTTATTTTTTATTTTTATTTTTTTGACAGGCAGAGTGGACAGTGAGAGAGAGACAGAGAGAAAGGTCTTCCTTTTGCCGTTGGTTCACCCTCCAATGGCCGCTGTGGCTGGCACGCTGCGGCCAATGCACCGTGCTGATCTGATGGCAGGAGCCAGGTACTTCTCCTGGTCTCCCATGGGATGCAGGGCCCAAGTATTTGGGCCATCCTCCACTGCACTCCCGGGCCACAGCAGAGAGCTAGCCTGGAAGAGGGGCAACTGGGACAGAATCTGGTGCCCCAACCGGGACTAGAACCCGGTGTGCCGGCGCCGCAAGGCGGAGGATTAGCCTAGTGAGCTGTGGCGCCGGCCTGAACTTCCTTCTTGGGGCCAATGATATAGCACTGGAAGATACCTCTGATCACTGAACCCACGTGTGGGACTGAAGGAGAAGCCTAAGAGGTAAGGTTTTAAGACTCGCAGGAGTCTAACATCAAAAATGAAGGTAGACACTTAATTATAACTCACCCCTGATCTTTCACTGATGATGGAAATGGGCCACCTTTCACTTAGTTGAATTGAATATGTTGAAGTAAAGTCATTATGACACTTTATAAGATCCACAGCCTGAGATCAGCAAGAAAGGGGAAAGTTTCATTATATGCCTTTTGTCAAAATCTAGCACTGTGTGTTTTGGAAAATGAAATAAGTGCCTTGGTCACTATCAATAATGTTTAGCCCTTTGGAGAGATTTAGGGATGCAGACTTGTATTGTGGCCTTAGTATGTGCAGAGACATGCAAGACCTTCATTTATATTTTGGAATGTAAAGCAACATAGGAATAAGAAATTATTACTAGTCTAGATGGACATACATTGGCATTGGCTCAAGAGTCTGTGAAAGTATGGCCAGGGCATCCAGTGTTTTTCTGTGATTGCAGGACGCTTGGTTAATTTTGCCAGGCTTTGAGTCCTGTCTTTGACAGAGACATCTCGGTTGAAGCAGCAGTGCTCCAGTGAGCAAGCATCATGTATTGGTGGTGCTGCTGTACGCGAAACATACAACCCACTCTACCTGTTTACTCAGCTATTCCCAAGAGGACCCTTAGGGAGCTAAGCATTCTGTGAGAGGAGGATACACCCTCCAGAGCTACGTAATCCAGCAAAGGACTGAAGACAGGCATCCTCCAGTGGGATATGGCAGAGCTCTCCAGGTTGGCTCTTTTCAAGTTTGGATTTATCTTGTGAGCAGTATTTCTATTTTAGCATGGAGGCCTTGGTAGCCATGCTGAGCCCTAGGACTTTCACTTCCATATCCTCAGGGATAATGGGGACCTGAGTGTCAGGGGTCCCAAGCTCTTGTCCTTAGATGGCTTAGTATGCAGCCAAGTGATTACCCTCGAATGGTATTTAGTGTGTAGCTGAGGTGGGCAGTTTATATGCTAGAAATCCCTGGGCAAATTATAAACATCTTGGGTGGTCCATAGGTTCCCACAGGTGTGAGCAGAGTTTTCAAAAGCCTTTTTGGTAAAGAAATATCTGAGGGAACACTATGAAAAATGTTATTATTTTGCAATTTGGACTACAATTGTTGCTGTGGGATCCCCATCCGAGGTGGATCAATCTGCAAGAAATAGGATAAGTGGTTGTAAGTGAAAATTTAACATGGAGAATATGTTGGTTTCAAATGTAAAAAGGGTTTAAAAATATTCATCTTATTTTAATATTGTTAGTACTAGAGAGTCACTATTTCTTGATAACATTAGGGATATAGTTGCCCCTGGCTTACCAATACCTATTATGCCACAGCCCTGGCTCTACCAAATAGTTTTTGTAGACTTAAGCAAAATGTCATGATCTCATACAATGACTGGGCCATGGATCTATCCACTCTGAGGGTGACAAATGAGTTTCCTTGGAGGAGGATTCCATCACTGTGCTGTGACTATGCAGAATTGAGGCAAGGCAACAATTTTGATGAGTAGACTAAGGCGTATGAGTTTTTCCTCTAAACTGTGTTAAGTCACTTCTCCCATAACACAGTGGTTTATCTTGTTCAGATTTCATAGGACCCCCAGGAATCAGTAATTTGAGTTTCAGTATTGATTAAGATAATGAAGTTTTACCAATCAGTGCATTTCAGTAGATGATAAAGTTAATTTACATTCTATGTTGTGAAAATACAAGAGCCAATCAGTACCTACTTTTATTTTTGTTTTTAATGATCTTTTTTGGTCTTTTTAAAAAAATTTACTTAAGGTATATAAGTTTCAAGTATTTCACATATACAGATTTAGGAACATAGTGATACTACCCACCCCACCCTCCCTCCTGTCCATGCTCCAACCCTTCTTCTTCCTCCTCCTATTACTATTAATTTTTACAAAGATCTATTTTCAGTTTACTTTATAATCATAAGGTTAACCCTACAATAAGAATTCAAAAATAGTATGAAGAAAAAAACACTGTTCCTCAACAGTAGAGACAAAGGATGTAAACAATCATTGAATCTCAAGATGTTGATTTTACTCCAATACATTACATCTGTACACCTATGTTTATAGCAGCTGAATTCATAATAGGCAAGATATGGAATCAACCCAGATGTCTATCAACTGATGACTGAAAAAAGAGATTATGGTATATATACACTATGGAGTACTACTCAACTGTAAGAAAATTGAAGTCCTTCCTTTTGCAACAAAATGGATGCAACTGGAAACCAGTATACTTAGTGAAATAAACCAGTCTCCCAAAGACAGATATCATATGTTTTATTTATCATATAAGTTTTTTAGGTTTTGGTTTTGGATTTCTAGTTGAGTCAGATTGTACATATGTTTCTTCCATATTCAGTTTTTAAAATTTTCTGTTTATCTCTCTCTTAAAGCAACTTTTAGGGATATTGACCATACTTTGATTGAAGTAGATTTTCTTTTTTACACTGCATATATTGTAAGTCTCTTCTCCAGAGAATCTCCAATCAGTGTCATTTGAATTAGGAGTCTATTCTACTGTAGTGTTTGCCTGACAGGGTTAGGAACACTGGTTAAAGTGGGGTTTGAATTAACCTCTGTACAATGGGAGTGTCACTGGTGTTTTCTATGTCACCTTGAATCAGGATTATTTTAGCAGTAAATTCACAGGCAACAACATCCTCAAATACACTGTTTTAGGTTCCTATGAGCTATGTGCTTCAAGAGTGTGGCTTCAGCATGCCACAGGGTGACTACTCTTCCACTGACCAAACCTAACTTGCTTTTATACAACATAAACAGGCCTTTATATTCTACAGGTCATCAGTCTTTCTTCTGAGCATGCTACAGAATTGAGACTAATGTCCCATTGAAACATATACTTTAAGCACACTTTAAGTAGGGACCTGGTTGGTCATGTACTCCTGTTTCTAAATGTCTGTCATCCAGATATCCTACTTATGAAAGTTCTATTACAGAAGTATTGTGGGTCAGCAGATGTAGTAAAAGTATGATAGCTCGAAGTTCAAGCTTTTATCAGGCGGAAACATAATTCAAAGAACATGCTAAGCAGCAGGCAATAGAGCCAGTTACCCATTTGTTTGATTCAGTTAATTCCCTTTGTGTTATTTTTTTTTAATTTATCTTTTAAGGAATACAAATTCATAAGTACAACTTTAGGAATATAGCTATTCTTCCCACCATACCTGCCCTCCCACTCATACACCTACCCCTCCTTCTCCTCTCTCACTCTCCTTGTCAGTCCAATTTTCCATTAAGATTCATTTTCAATTAACTTTGTACACAGAAGACCAACTTTATACTAAGTAAAAATTTCAACAATTTTCATACAAACACACACACACACACACACACAAACTGTTTGAGAACTAATTTTACACTTAACTCTCATAATACAACTCATTGAGGGCAGAGGTCCTGCATGGGGAGCTAGTGAACAGTGACTGCTGTTGTTAATTTACCAATTAACACTCTTATATATGATGTCAATGACAACCTTAGGCTCTTGACACAAGATTCTTAGGCTATGTAAGCCTTTTGAGTCCCCAAACTCTGTCAGTATTTGGATAGGGCCATAAGCAAAATGTAAGTTCTCTCCTCCCTTTAGAGAAAAGTACATCTTTCTTCGATGGCCATTTCTTTCCACTGGAGTCTCACTCACAGAGATCCTTTCTGTAGAACATTTTTTGCCACAGTGTCTTGGCTGTCCATGCTAGAAATGCTCTCTCAGGCTTTTCAGCCAGACCAGGAAGCCTTAAGGGCTGATTCTGAGGTCAGAGTGTTACTTAAAGCAATTGTAATTCTATGAATCTGCTGTGTGGACTGCTTCTCATGTAGGAACATTCTCTCCTTTTTAATTCTATCTATTATTATTACCAGACACTTAACCCTATTTATATGTCCACTTTAACACTTAATATGATCATTTTAACACTTAAGATGGTATTTTTACCACCAAGCTCAATAGGATTTTGAGTCCCATGAAGTTTTTAAACTGTACCCTTAGAATTCAGTCCATAGTGTATACAGAACAATACAGATTTACAGTGAAAAACTTCCTCCTCCCTCTCTTATTCCCACTCTTATTTTTTACTAAGATCTATTTTTCAATTCACTTCATACACATATGATTAACCCTATATTAAGAATTCAACAAATAGTATGAAGGAAGAAAAAACAAAACAAAACAAAAAAATGAGACTATTCCTTGACAGTCAATACAAGGGCAGCTGAAGTCATCCCTTCTCAAAATGTCAATTTCACTTCTAAAGATTTCATTTTAGGTGTGCTGTTAGTTCTCACAGATCAGGGAGAGCATATGGTATTTGTCCCTTTGGGACTGGCTTATTTCACTAACTATGATGTTTTCCAGATTCATCCATTTTGTTGCAAATTACCAGATTTCATTTTTTACTGCTGTGTAGTATTCCACAGTGTACATATCCCATAATTTCTTTTTCCAGTCATTGGTTGAAGGGCATTTAGGTTGATTCCATGTCTTAGCTGTTATAAATTGAGCTTCAAGAAACACGCAAGTGCAGATAACTCTTTTGTTTACTGATTTCATTTCCCTTGGGTAAATTCTCAGGAGTGGGATGGCTGGGTCATATGGTAGGTATATATTCAAATTTTTGAGGTATCTCCAAGCTGTCTTCCATAGTGGCTTTACGAGTTTACATTCACACCAATAGTGGATATTTCCTCACATCCTCACCAGCTTTTGTTGGTTTTTATTTCTGTATGAAAGCCATTCTAAATAAGGTGAGGAAACCTCATTGTGGTTTTGATTTGCATTTCCTTGATAGCTAGTGATCTTGAACATTTTTTCATGTGTCTGTTGGCCATTTGTATTTCCTCTTTTGAAAAATATCTGTTTAAGTCCTTTGCCCATCTCTTAACTGGGTTGTTTGTTTTGTTGTTGTGGAGTTTCTTGATCTCTTTGTATATTCTGGTTATTAATCCTTTATCTGTTGTATAATTTGCTAATATCTTCTCCCATTCTGTTGGTTGTCTCTTCACTTTCCTGACTGTTTATTTTCCTACACAGAAACTTCTCAATTTGTTGTAATCCCATTTTTTTTTTATTTTGGCTTTGACCTAATGTGCCTCTGGGATCTTTTCCAAGAACTCTGTGCCTGTGCCAATGTCTTGCAGGGTTTCCCCAATGTTCTCTAAAAATTTGATATTGTTGGGTTGTAGATGTAGACCTTTATCCATGTTGAGTGCATTTTTGTATAAGGTGTAAGGTAGGGGTCTTGCTTCATACTTCTGCATATGGAAATCCAGTTTTCCCAGCACCATTTGTTGAAGAGATTGTCCTTGCTCCAGGAATTGGTTTTAGCGCCTTAATCAAATATAAGTTGGTTGTAGGTGTTTGGATTGATTTCTAGTGTTATAATCTGTTCCATTGGTCTACCCATCTGTTTTTGTACCAGTATCCGGCTGTTTTGATTATAACTGCCTTATACTATATCTTGAAATCTGGTTTTGTGATGCCTCCGGCTTTGTTTTTATCATAAAAGATTGCTTTAGCTATTCAAGCTCTCTGTCTTTTGATATGAATTTCAGCATCATTTTTCATATATCTGAGAAGAATGTCTTTGGTGTTTTGATTGGTATTGCATTGAATCTGTAAATTGCTTTTGGAAGAATGGACATTTTGATGATATTATTTGTTTCAATCCATGAACATGCACCTTCTTCTATTTCTTTCTTTAATGTTTTTAAGTTCTCATCATATCTTCCTTTTTTTTTCCTTTAATGTTTTTAGTTCTCATTGTAAAGATCTCTGACATCTTTGGTTAAATTTATTCCACGATTGTGAATGGGATTGATTTTAGAAGCCCAATCTGAGCTTTTGCATTGTCTGTGTATACAAAGGCTGTTGATTTTTGTGTATTGACTTTATATCCTGCTACTTTACCAAACTTTTCTATGAGTTCCAATAGTCTCTTATTGGAGTCTTTCGGATCCCCTACGTATAGAATTATGTCATCTGCAAATAGGGATAGTTTGGCTTCCTCCTTCCCAGTTTATATCCCTTTTATTTCTTTTTCTTTCCTTATGGCTCTGGCTAAATCTTCCAGGACGATATTGAATAACAGTGTTGAAAGTGGGCATCCTTGTCTGGTACTGAATCTCAATGGGAATGCTTCCAACTTTTCCCCATTCAATAAGATGCTGGCCATGAGTTTATCATAAATTGCCTTGATTGTGTCAAAGAATATTCCTTCTATACCCAATTTGCTTAGGGTTTTCATCATGAAAGGATGTTGTATTTTATCAAATGCTTTCTCTGCATCTATTGAGATAATCATATAATTTTTGTTCAGTGGTTTGTTAATGTGATATATCATATTGATTGATTTGCAAATGTTGAACCACCCTGCATAGTAGGGATAAATCCCACGTGGTCCGGGTGGATGATCTTTCTGATGTATTGTTGGATTTGATTGTCTAGTATTTTGTTGAAGATTTTTGCAACTATGTTCATCAGAGAACTTGGTCTGTAATTCTCTTTCTCTGTTGCATCTTTTTCAGGTTTAGGAATTAAGGTGATGCTGGCTTCATAAACGGAATTTGAGAGGATTCCTTCCTTCTCAATTGTTTTGAATAACTTGAGAAGAAATGGAGTTAGTTCTTTAAATGTCTGGTAGAATTCACCAGTGAAGCTATCCAATCCTGGGCT